GGACACGGAGGTCGAAGATGGGGTCCACCGCCGCAGAGGTTTTCACCAGGCGCACGCATATCGGCGATGCGAGGGTGGCACCTAGGCGGCCACCGTGTAAATGCGCGCTGAGGGCGTTGTGGGACCACCGAAATGCCTGCACGACCACCGTGAGGTGCCTATCTTGGACGTTAGGGTCAACCTGCACGACTTTGACCTGGACGAGGTTATGAGATCCCTCGACCCGAATGACGGCATGGCGACCGGGCGTCCAACCGGCCCCTGATGGCATGTCTGCGGAGCAAAACTTCAACCGCATGGGAACCACCTTGGAACGAGATCCTAGCCTGGACGTTGTGGGAACGACGGTCGTCGTCAGCTGTGTAGACCGCAGCTAAGGTGGCGCACGCTGCGCTGCAGAGCTTGGCTAGCTTGTCGAGCGAGCAGCTGCTTGGTTCCAGTTGAAGTTATTACGGACCCAGACGGTCCTCGAACCAAGCGCGGTCGGAGTCGGAGGCCTTGAACACCTCAAGAGGCAATAAACCCCCTTCGGGGTGCATTGGCAAAAAGGGCATGACAAGGTCGCAAGCTCCTCTCCTCCGGCTCTCCGACCCAAGGAGCGCCGGGTGCCCTCCAGCTCTCGCACATAGGGGAACTGGGGGCTCCCAGAAGTCAAAGGTCCACCAGTCATAGAGAGCGCGATCAAAGGTCAAAGACATCGGGCGGCTAAACTGAGAAAACCACATAGGAGGAGCTCGAACGCTGGGGTGCCAGTCGGCATATATCAATGAGTGAGGGCCGAAATTGCTAAAAGAAGCTCTCACAAACGCAAGAAAAAGGCAAAGTAGGCAGTAAAACTTAGTTTCTAGCACAGCAAGGGTTTTCGTCGTTTCTCTTTTTTTATTTTTTTATTTATCTAGGAGTGAAGACTATAAGTTAGAAGGCGTACGCAAATCACTCGACTGTGGTACCTCGTCCAAATCCAACTCACATCTCTCGCCGCAAAAATTCTTACATTTACAGTCCCAACTCCACTTCGACCAACGAAAATACGGCGGGCGGCTTCAAACACGGCAACTCATATTCGGGTGCACCCATCTGACACTTCCCAATGAACGTAAATCAACGGGACGAACGCAATGCACTTCCTTACACTATTCCTCGAGCTCGGCAAATTCGGCATCTGCAAGGTAGCTACCTGACGGTTTAGACCCCCGTCAAGGGAAGCGCTTGAAATTTCGATGTACTTACAGACAAAGGCTACCGTACCAGATAACAAAAAATTGTTTGCATGAGCCGTTGAGTGGAAAAGTACGGTGCTATGAACTTTGGGAAATGAGAAAGAAGTTTGACGAAAAATAAATTTGAACTTGATTACGGTCGTCATTGTCTGGGGCCGACCATGCGAGCGAAGTTTTTTCATAGCGGGCTTGGCTAGCAACCGTCTGCGCGGAATTGAGTGGCCGTCTCGTTTCGGCACAATCAAGCCAGGCACATGAGCAACTTACCTCTCCAGGACTTAGCTAACAGTGAGGGGTGAACCACTCGCTGTTGCCAGTAAGTCGTGCGCGAAGCAGTAGAAGGTTCTAAATCCCTCCTTCTGTAAAAGACTTATTATTTACTAAAGTTTATCCTCAAGACATCAAAAGAACATGAGATCGACGGAGGCCGCCGAGTAAGGCATCATAAAAAAGGCACAAATACACGAAAGAACATAAGCATATAGATAGGAGAGCAAGCACCACGTGGGTGAGATCACTAGTCCTCGAGAGAGCAGGGCTTCGCCCAAGAGATGGAGTAGAAGGTCGGGATCCGAGCGTCCTCGGTCCGAGAGGCAGGTCGACTCCTCGAAGAAGCTGGTCGCTCCATCGCCACGCCCTGAAAGCAAAACATGAGTCATCGTCAAAGAATCCGAGCTGCGCCTGCAAGGCGCTGCACTCACACACAACCCCTCCGAAGGAGACCAGATCAAGAAATGCACTTCCGAAGCCCGGATGTCGACGGTCCCGCAGTCCCGACTCGCGGTCGTGAATCGCGCTCTTTCGTCTATCTGATAACCCTGTCGCTTTAAAAAACCGTTCAAATTTGTTGCAACGGCTTCTGTCGAACCGCCCGGGTTGAGAGCGCTAGCTTGGGAAAGCACCTCCACTTTGTGTCTCAATCGGGGCTGCACAAACACGTTTTTAAAAGTAGCTAGAAAAAAGCAGAGATACTCGGCATATGTGGTGGGCACGTGTGAGCGCTTCCATACGTCACCACAAAACGCTGGACCGCCAAGACACACATGGTTGGCACATGTCCTGAGATCCCTTAATTTGTTGCTTGCGCCTGCGCTTTCTCGCCTAAATAGAGGTTTATGACTACTGTGATCACCATTCACACCTTACACCTAGATGATAGCCATTGCTTTGGGAGTCGTATTAAGACGGGTGTGGGATGCTAGGCCAGGAGTACTGTCGAGGTTTTTCACTTCATCGCAAGGACCTGGACAGTTCTTTGCGGCGGCACGCTAGCACTCGCCAGCAGCGAAAAAAACTACGGTATGAGAAGAAGCGCGCGATTGAAAGCATTTCTGCAATGGCGTGAAGTTTTGTAAGGATTTTCTGTGATGTCCGTTACTTGCCGCGCTTCTACCTTAACTGGACAGCCAATTGTTATTGATAAAAGTGGGATGGAATCAGCTAATCTGTGTCATGTTCTTGAAAACGTTTTTTTGACTTAACACGAATTCCGAGGCGATGCCACTTAAAATGGTTTGAGGGGTTTTACGAGAGATGGTGGCAGCTGGTTATAATTGACACGGGAGTCACTATTAACCGCGAGACCGGCCGCAGAATAGTATGTTTTGCGCCTCACGGCCGCGGATGCTGCGCGGAGCAGCAAAGCAGTGTGGTCATGATGACTTCTAACTTCTGTAATATTTTCGCAACGAAAGCCATTATTTTGTCTCGTTTATGTCTTTGTCATGTCTCGAAGAATATATAAGATTAATTTGACAGAAAACTGTTTTGCAAAAAAAGGGAAAGGGCCATAAAAAGGGAGGAAGGGACGAAAATTGTTCAAAATAAGTTGGTATGGAGAAAAAGGGAGTAGAACGTGCCCAAAACGATTGGATCCATAAGAATCAGATACGACGAGCAGTCCTTTGTAGTGTGCGGGACGAGCAGGATATTTCACAAATTCTTCGTTTTTAAGTGTTTTCAAGCGAACTACAACTGTTTTCTTTGAGCCCAAAGTGGAAGTCCATTTACTCTTTGGTTATTTTAGAACCTAGATTAAACCTAAAGTCTAGGTTTTTTCATACATATGGCATGAGTCTGTTACATAGGTATGTAACAACATAAAATATTTTATCGAAAAACCAAACTCTTGGAAAAATCAGCTCTTGAAGTTCCTGACACACCATGTGTGTCAGGCGGTCCGGAAAGGGTTAAATAGTGACGCTTGTGCTTGCATTTTGTGGTTCATATTGTTGTATAGACTTCTGCATAAGGGTATAACATCTTAACTCTCATCAAACGTCCATCAACCATTTCTTCCAGGTTCTCCAGAAGCTCTACCATCCATCTCTGCAAAAATAACCTACCTCCCTCTTCACTGCTAGTTAGCGGTCCACTTCTGGTTACCATTTCCTCGTTCATTATCAAATCCATGGCTATTAAGCTTCAAACTCCTTGTCGCAATCAAAGCCGACACAAATATCGTGCTCCAATCGCGCGTTCTCCCAGACACCGTAGTTGTTTTCGCTGCGGGCGCCAGCCTGCCGCGCGATGTCGCGTTGCGAAGAGCGAAAAAGTCCGTGTCGTCCTAACAGTAAGGCCAACACCCGATGTGTGCGTTAAAACTACTCACCATGTAGCCAACCCTTATGTAAAGCGCCTGATCGAGTTGTAATTCCAGTTGAACGCTGTAGAGACACAAGGCACGACTCCGGACATGTCGCTTTGGCAACTTGTTCGCCCGGTTGGCGCATCTTCTACGACCGTGCTAATCGATACTCGTGCACGTGCAACGCCAGCCACCGATCAATAGCTATGCCCATCGCATCGGTTAACTCCCGCATGCCCTCACCATTTCGAAGGACGTGTTAACACACTACTGTATTGGTTTCTTTCCTGATTCTTTACATCAAAAACGTGCGCTGTCTCTTTCAGTGAAGAGTACTACATCCTTATTTATGTGTCTTACCGTCTTTTCTAGAAGGCTTGGAGCTGTCATGACATGTTCTCGTTTTTTTGGATCAGTCGATAGGGGCCGTATCCCATCCTTCCCCCAGACAGGGGGGCGAAAGAGTCCTTTGAATTTCCTTGTTTTCCACACTTCTGTGCTTTTACGCACATATATATGCGTTACAAATATGTAGTTTCTGGGGCGATTTTTGTGGGAAGGGCAAAGAAAATTCAAAGAGATTTTTTTTAGTTCCCTTAGCCTAGGAGAATATACCCCAGGAAGGATACTAGATTTGTTGATTCCTTTTACTCCGTCTTTGCAATGCAACCAGTAAGTTGATACTAATTTTGGAGTCATTTGCGATTAATTTTTGTACGCTCTTCTTGAAGGGGTGGCACTCGTGCAGGGTTAAGTTTACCTTGCGCCTTGGACTGAAACCAGTTACACCCGTTTCGGTCCTGTGAACGAATACAGTTTTCCATCTAGGTCAAGTAATACTCAGCGGCAGAACTTCATGATGTCTTATCGTTAACGTTGCTGTGCTGGTTTTTGTGCTGATAAAATCACGTATTCTTTCGTAATACTGGAATGTGATATTCCAAATTCTATTCATCTATTTCTTTCCGTCATACTTGGAAGTGAGACCTGGCATCGCTCTCAGTCCTCCGAAAATTTGTCCAAATTACTCTCGACGTCAGTTTAGAAAGACTTCGAAAAAGCCTAGCTTCGAAGCGCAACTTAACTCCTCATTTTTGACGTATATTTCTTTCGAAGATAATTTCTGGTCGTTACACTTGTCTTTCGCCCTTCCTAAATCGTCGTGTATAAACCCTTTGATTTTCAGATTCACCATGCTATTCATATTCCTACGAATAGCTATTCTTCAAGGTGTTGTTGCGTCGACAATGGATTTTTCTTTTAATCGACTGTTAAAAACGAATCAGTACATCATCATATCACAGCAGCTGTGCCAAACAAAGGTCGAATCTCATGTTAACGATCAAACCTGTCCGAGATCGTTTATTCCTATTTCTAGGTATGTTGTTTGTGTTTTCGGGTTTCGTCTAGTGAGGGGGGTTGTCATTTGTTTGCGGACTTCGTCTAGTGAGGGGGTTCATTTGTGCGACGGTCGCTGTCGCGTGCAGAAATTTTAATTTTTGCAAGGGGAGGAAACCTCGTGGTACGTGATGACTCGCTTTTGCTCCCGGGCTTCATTCTCCCGTTCTTCATCTCTTACCTTTGGCATCCTATCCGTATATAACGATACTTTCTATCCTGTGTGCAGCTATGGTAGCACACACAATGAATCCGGTTTATGCATGATACGTTGGAATTTTGCACGATACCCAAATACCAGTCGTCTGAACCTTCGGGCTGTGCGGTTTTGCCGATTGGGCCAACGATTTCAGCGAATTGTTCATTTGCCAAATCCGAGAATTCTGACGGTGTGATTGGTTCACTAAAACAGAAAGCGACTTTTTCGCGTTTCGCGCGCGAAACATTTTTCGCTGCGGGAACTCAGGTCCACTCATGATCAGCGGTGGACCTGAGGTTCCTGCAGCGAAAATGTTTCGCGCTGCGAAACGCGAAAGTCGCTTTCTGTCCTAGTGAACTACACCCGAATCCTGACAGGTTCCTTATTGGCATTTCGTCGAATATACTGACATTTTCTCAATATTGGTTTGAGATACAGGTAGCTGGACGTGGTTCGCTAGGACAGAGCGACTTTTCCGCTTTTCGCAACACGAATCTTCTCGTTGCGAGAACCTCAGGTCCACCGCTGATCAGGAGTGGACCTGGTGTTCTTGCAGCGAAAAAAGTTACGCTCGGTGAAAAGCAGAAAAGTCGCTTTCAGACTTGGTGATCCACACCCAAGGTAGCTAGAATCCCGACGGTTTTATCAACCATCACCTATGAATGCAGTTGATTCAGCGAAGTGCAGAAATCGATTCCTGTATGTGACTCTCCCATTCGTGTCCATCTTATTCGTGATCCTGAGCGAAGACGACCGCCTCGAGCTCTTTACGTTGGACGCCATCGCAACGGGCAAACAATTGCATTTATTGAAGACATAGTGGTAAGGTTTCTCGCTTGTGATCAGTGTTTCTGCACAGAATTGAACTTAATCTTCTGTAGGCCCCTCGTTTACCATCTTTCAACCGCACATCAAATATTTATTCTCGTCTCATAGACTTCGGAAGCAGACCGCACAAGTACATGAATCAGTACAATACGGTTAGTGTCTTATGCGTCACGTTCGATATTGGAAGCGTTCGCTGCGAGCTTTTAGCAGTTCTCAATATCTTCTCTCCAATAATAAACTTCCTTTTTATGGCGAAACATAAAATGCAATTAGTGCTTAAGTTGAGGCGAATGTGCCCATTGCTCAGATTTAGTCACGTCTTTAGTAAGTAGCCTATTTTTTGGGTGGTACTCAGTATGTATTTTGGATGTTTCGGAGAGTCAAGTTTCGCTCACGAAAGGCGAGGCTATCACCTCCTCTGTCTTTAAGGGCTCCCAACCGCTTGTCCCGCCATACTTACTACGAATATGAAGAAAGATCAAAAGTATCATGCCATCTTTAACTACTCAATCAGATGCTATTGCTGACCCTATTTTTAAGTGCAAGTTTACCATTCAGGATTTCACGCTGTACGATCATGTATATCAGCTGTTCTACCTAGTCAATCATGATTCCACTGCTGCGCAGCACTGTGCCGTTTTACGCTTGTCAAATCTCTTTCCTGGTGAGTTGTGATGTATGACGTGCGATATTGCTTAGCCATCTCTAAGGTTTTCCATC